CTGAATATTTTTTAGAAACTAACGTATTTCAGCTTAGATGAAACAGCACTTTTGACAAATTGTATTTTTGTTTAGTTTTAAGGTGAGATGGTAAGCTGACGTGTCTAAAATTCCTGTGCTTTGGTTGACGGTGAGAGGAACTTGGGTTAGCCCTTGCAAATGAGGTTTGTTTGACTCACAGATGTGTGCATATTGATTGATCTATTTATGGCTTCCACATATAAATTCCACATAACTGTTCATACCTCAATGGCATTTTGCTTAGCCCCCACATTTTTCCTTCAGAAAAAACCCTGAAATGTAAAGCATTAAATGCAACAGCTTAAAATATTTAAACTCTTCCTTGTTGGATTAATTACATGATGGTGTTGGCAAATTTAAGAACCTATACACTAGAAAATATTAATTAGACTGGATGAAGCCAGATAATGTCACATCAAAATCAAATGCATAAAAATGAAACACTATGTAAATACCACCTGAAGTATGAACATTTAAACTCCCAAATTTGGAAAGTCAAAGTTCTCATAGCAATATTAACACGATCATATTGCACAGATGTCATAGCATTTCAAGTTACTACTACTGAGATCACAATATTTTGTTTCTATTCACTTATCTAGAACCAGTATTTGGGAAAAAATAGTGTTTGGAAATAATTTGCTCTGCTCTGCCCTGCCAAGAGGCCCCTACAAATCACACAACAGTTCATGAAATCACATTATTCTGATTAGCATCTTATTTCTCCACTTCAGTTTTGATGTGATTTTTTGCCACTAACATTTTCTGGATTGCTAGCAGTGAAAATTAATACAGTTTATACCATTTCAAAACTTCCATTTCAATTCATGTTCAGAAATAAGTTTGAGATAGAAGCCAATAAGATCATGTCAGAACTCAAATGGAGGAGGCAACCAAAGTGGTAATTGGAACAGTATGATTTATGGTCTGATATCTTGTTCTGCTAGGACTAGAAATTATTTTTGCACCTGGAAAGATGAAATTCTGAAGCAAACACAACTTTGCAACTTAAATTTGGCCCCGTTGTGTATATGCATCATGATAAAGTCTCCAGTTACAAGATCACATACTATTTTACAGAACTTCTACCTGGCTGTTGTTAAATATTGTGTTTTCTCCTCAGTATGTCCTTCCAGACCTTTTTTATTGTACAATATTTGAACCCTGTTCTGAAAAAAGAATTATAATTTTTCTCAGGGCACTTCACAAGAGAGTAGTAAAGTGATATACACTGGAGAAGATAAGTGTATTGTGGCATTGCACCTAAGGATTTTTAATACAGGGAGAACAAACTCAAAAGTATTCAGTAATTTTTGGATGTCTCATTAGAATGATTAGGACTTGATTTTTCGGAATATTTAGCATTATACAGCACATTTTACGTTGTATGCACACCACCTTCCAAACCTCAGCACTTCCCCACAGACCCAAAGATATCAAATTGAACATTGAATAGTACAGTAAAACTCCATTAGTCCGGCATCCAATGCTCCGGGACTCCTGATGGTCCAGCACCATCAGGAACCCGGAAGTGCTGGGGCAGCCGGACAGGCTTCCCCCATTCAGCTGCAGCTGAAACTGACCAGCAGCTGAATCGGGGAAGCCGGGAGCAGAGCACCTGGGGTGCTGCCGGGCTGGTCTCGTAGCGCCGCCCCTCGGGGCTGTGGGACCAACCCGGCAGGACCCCAGCTGCTCTGCCCCAGGGGGCCCCGATTCAGCCGCTGCTGAAACAGATCAGCAGCTGATTCCAGGAAGCCCGAGGTAAATCCGCCGCTGATCTGTTTCCGCCGCGGCTCGCCTTGGGGGACCC